AGTATCATCACTTTAACATAACAGAAGTTCAAATACAGTCCATTTGGATGTTCAGCAGGTGGCTTTCCACGTGGTGACTCAGAGACTTAGGATCCTTCCATCTAGTGACTCTGCCAGCTCTGACCTCCGGCCTCCTAGTCCTCCTCTGTATCTTCTGCATCAGGCCAGCCGATGAGAGAAGGGAGGTGGTGGAGATTGCTCCTGAGAAGCTTTTATGGGCCAGGTTTAAAAGTGGCATTCATCTCCACTTCCAGCACATTCCATTGCCTAGAACTCAGTCACTTGGCCACAACTGCCTGCCAGGGAGACTAGGAAACATAATCTAGATGTGTGCCCAGGAGGAAAATTAAATGAATTTGATGAATGTCTACTAATCTACCAAAATGCTTAACCTTCCTCATATTAAGCAAAATGTAAATTAAATTAAAACTCCAAGGTGTACCATTTTCCATCTACCAGATTGACAAAGATAAAAAGTTTGATAACAAGGAGACATATGTAATACTATATGTAATACTTTAAACCATTAAAAAAATGAAAAGAAAAAAAAAAGATTTCCACTCTGAAAAAAAACCCGTTTGATAACACAATATAGAGAAATAGGCACTCCCATACAAGAGTGGGTTAGAAGGAGGATTGGTATGTCCTCTATGGAAATTTAGTTATAATGTTTGCTGCTGGTGAAGGGAACTCAGTGACTGGAACACAAAAATAGGAGAGAGACTTATTTTTCACTATATACCATTTCACACTTTTTCAGTTTCACCATGGGCTTGTATTATCTGTTCAAAAATAATTGTTTAAAAAAATAAAAAGTATTCCTTCATAAAGTATGTACCAGGCATATTCCTAAATGGTAGGTCACAACAGTAAGCTAGACAGTAACCCATGTTTAATTTACCCCCCAGTTCTCAACTTTTCCTATTGGTCCTCTTATTTCTATACTAGAGGCCCGATGCACGAAATTCATGCAAGGGGCTCAGCCCTTGCAGCCCAGGCTTTGTCCGGAAGGTCGTCCAGAAGGTCATTCGGCTGTCCCGTCTAATTAGCATATTACGCTTTTATTATTATAGATACTCAAATTGAAAAGTTTTTCTTTGTGAAATTACCAAGTTTCTCCTGATGGTCTTGGTTCTCATTCCTTCCATATTAATAACTGATTAAGTTCTAAATATTCTTTTCCATTATTTCCCTTCAAATATCTTCAATTTCCATAACTGCACACAATCTAATTTTCAATCCCACAAGAAAAGACAACCATACATAGCAGTAGTGATGGTGGTGGTGGTGGTTTCAGTGCAGGAGGCTTATCCCTAAAAGGATGGAAGTAATTTCCTTTGAAATTAAATAATGCTGGCTACTATCTTCTTTTGTTTTACAGACTAATATTTGTATATCTGTTACTTCAAAGACCCAGTGAAAGCTAAACATTTTATCTTCCTGTAGAAAGTTATAAATACTCTTTATACAAATGAGGGAAGCAGAAAAGTCTAAAGAAGAAAAGAATCATCATCCCTAATCTCTCTTAGTTCAGGAGTTGAGAATGAAGCAAGGTCCAGATGTTTCTAGGAAAACCCGGCTTCATGGAGTGCCGTTCTCTCAGGGACTCACAACCAGCCAGCATCAGGTCCCCAGCCTCGTAAGCACAGAAACCTGAATTTTTCAGCACATGTTGTGAAGCCTCCTCTTAAGATAGACTGATATTAGCCAAGCTAAAAACTAAGTCCCTGAAAAGGTTTCATTTATTATTGACTACAGGGCTCTAGCATCAGCCCCACTTGATGGCCTCCTGTCATGCCATTCCTACCTGTGCATTCTTTGCTCCTGCCCTCAGGCTCACCTGCCCCTCCCAGCACCACAGAGTCTTGAGCATCACACCTTTGCATATGCTGCTTCCTCAGCCTTCAGGCCAGTGCAGCCCTCCTTAACCTCCAGGTTCCAGCCAGGGACCACGCCACCCGTGCTTTCTCCAGGCTCCTCGTCAGGATGACTGATTCCCGTTAGCATTTTGTGTGTGCTCTTCTACCTGATAGCCTGCTCTGTGTGTGCTCGACTCTCCTGCTCTCCATAAGCTCTTGGGGATAGGAAGTGTTTTCCGTTTCTCTCGTGCTCTCGATCTCCTGTCCTTGTCAGTGCTTTGCCGCCCCCTCCCATAGTCCTTCCTGGCTCCTGGTGCACCGTTGTGTTTTTCAGGTGCATACCCAGACCACAAGTCTGCCTGACGACTTTTGACAAATTTGGGTGTAGCCAGTTCGAGTGTTTGCCACGACAGCTCACCTGCGACCAGGTCCGAGATCCTGTTTGTGACACGAACCACATGGAGCACAGCAATCTCTGCACTTTGTACCAGCGAGGGAAGAGCCTCTTGTACAAAGGCCCGTGCCAGGTACAGTTGTATAGCTGACAAGCCCAAGTCACAGAGATAAAATTGCTTTTACAGATGAATCAGCAGGAAGACCACTCGAGGGTCTTCTATGAACCCTGCCCCATCCAGAGAACTCGGCCCTCTACTAAAAGGAACCATCCCCAGACAGCCTTTTCCTCCCAACTCCGGAGGACTTCCTTGCTAGTGTGTGTGCCTTTGCCCATCTAGTGTACCAGCAAGGAGAGAGAGTGGCTTCTTATAGGAAAAGAATTTGAAGTTTCCCCCCTCGGCATGAGTCGGCACCATTTCCACTTTCCGTAGTTCTGTGGGCCCTCACTGGAAAACAAATCAGGAAGAATGGGCATTAAAACAACCAAGAAAGCCGAAACCGGTTTGGCTCAGTGGATAGAGCGTTGGCCTGCGGACTGAAAGGTCCCAGGTTCAATTCCGGTCAAGGGCATGTACCTGGGTTGCGGGCACATCCCCAGTAGGAGATGTGCAGGAGGCAGCTGATCGATGTTTCTCTCTCATCGATGTTTCTAACTCTCTATCTCTCTCCCTTCCTCTCTGTAAAAAATCAATAAAATATATTTAAAAAAAAAAAAACAACCAAGAAAAGAGTTCTTTTCCAAACACTCTTCCAATGAAGTCCCTATCACATCACTGTAATCAGAAATTTCTCTAAGACAGTGTCTTTGTATCAGTTTATCTTTGTGTCTTGTAAGGTTGTGGAATCTGTATTCATGTTTTCATGTTTTAAGAGTAACCTCACGGACAACCCCACTGAGGCTCCCGCACACCACTGATCTGTGTGCCGGCCCCTCTCCCCGGGAAGCCTCTGCCCACAGCCAGCTAACACCTGGCATGGTTGCTCCTCATTTCCTGGTCCTCATTGTCAGGAAAATCCCTTCCTCAGTTAGTCTCCCCCGGGAGCTTGTGTTCTGATACCTGCTACATTGAGTTCCAGTCTTCTCTTCTCTTGTGCCTCTTCCTGGCTATTTTTCTCTCAGAGTCCTTACCTGCTAATGGATCTAGAGCAGTGGTTCTCAACCTTCCTAATGCCGCGACCCTTTAATACAGTTCCTCATGTTGTGGTGACCCCCCAACCATAGAATTATTTTCGTTGCTACTTCATAACTGCAATTTTGCTACTGTTATGAATCGTAATGTAAATATCTGATATGCAGGATGTATTTTCATTGTTACAAATTGAACATAATTAAAGCATAGTGATTAATCACAAAAACAATATGTAATTATATATTCAATATGTGTTTTCCAGTGGTCTTAGGCGACCCCTGTGAAAGGGTTGTTCGACCCCCAAAGGGGTCTCGACCCACAGGTTGAGAACCGCTGCCCTAGAGTCTCTCGGCCCCACAGATCTCTCCACTCTTCCTTCTCCTTATCCCGTACCCAAGTGTGAAATGATAAAGCCTCCATATTTGCATGAAGATTGATTTTGTTTTCTTCAAACGGGCACTTCTGGAATGATGGAAGTCTGAGGGAGTGGGAGTTTTATCTCCTATCGGTTCACACGAGTGAGCACCAAGTCCCAGAACGGCTGAGAACAGTCATCTCCTCAGTTCATTTTGGGACAGCCCACTTGTCCCCCTCCACCATGTCGAGCCCACCTCAGGAGCTTCATTAAGAGGGTCCCCAGAGCTTATATCTGCATCTTTTCTCCTTCCTGAAAGTAGGGAGACCTACTGTATGGCCTCAGTTAGGAAAAGTGCACCATACAGGTTTCCAGGCTAAGTGTGGTTATTCGCCCTCAGCCCTTCTGCAGAGCCACGGAGCCCGTCTGTGGGCACAATGGGGAGACCTACAGTAGCGTGTGCGCAGCCTACTCGGACCGCGTGGCAGTCGATTACTATGGGCCCTGCCAGGCCGTCGGGGTCCTCTCAGAGCACAGTTCTGTCACGGAGTGTGCTGCTGTGAAGTGTCCTTCGCTCTCGGCAGCTGAGTGCAAACCCATCGTCCCACCCGGTATGTGGGGTGGGGTGGGGTGGGATTGGGAAGCCTTGATTATCTGCCTCCAGACAGTGAGTCCCTGAGGAGAGAGTTACGAGCTTATTTAAAAATTTCAAAAAAAATCTTAACTCTACCTGATACTGATTAGGTGCGTAACTCTGGGTTGACCTTAAAAAGCTGTGGATTACCTTAGACATCATCTGGTCCAGTGGTTTTAAAACAATACGGCCAACTTTTTTCAAGCAAAATCTCATACCGAACACCTATATGTAAACAGATAAAACAGTATTTAATTACTAAAATTATGATTATTTGTTCAAATGCATAATGTTTACTTTTTAAAATATATATTATCATAAAGTTAATGAACAAAGAATTAGTAATTAACGAATGAATAATTGAAGTAGTTTTGATGAACACAAACATTTGAAATTGAGAGAAGGCCTAACCCACATGGTCCAGGAGAAAAACAAAAGACAGTTGTTGTCTTAGATTGGCCTTAGGATCCAATTTAGTTGTTTTAGTTGCATATAATGGAAGAAGTCTTGTAAAAAGACTATTATAAGCGATAACAGTTTTCTTAAACAACTTCCCTTACAGTCTCTTACTCTTCAGTTAAACAGAGCAGGCAGAAGAGACTTTACCCCAAGTCAGAACAGATTAGTGCGCAGACCAGCAAGTCCATTCCTCCACCCATGAATTCATCAATTGTTTTTTGAGCTTCCACTATGTGCCAGATCCTCTTCTAGGCACTGGGGGCTCAGCAGTGAGTAAACCGAAGCCCCCTTCCTCCTGGAGACCTTGTTCTGATATGCTGTTGGGTTTTTTAACAGTTTAAAATAATTTTTAAAGTTATATTAGAGTTAAGCACCCATGGAATCCCTGAAGTACCTGCTCCCTTGTTTTGCAGGTAGAAATCAAAAGCCCAGGAGAGCACTTGCCAGGGTCACAGTGGGGTTGAGGCGAGGCAGGGCTAGGCTTCGTGTCTCTCTGTGCTGCCTCACACCACAGCCCCTCACCCTGAGAAGTGGTAAAGGGTGAAGCGGGCATGGAGGAAGGATTTGGGTAAATGTATGGATTGTAAGACCCCGGGTTGGTCAGGGGACCTAAAGTGCAGTCATCAGGGAGGCCAGCTGCAACTCTCCTAGCACAGAGCGAAGGGTTGGTCCTGTCCCCAACTGTTTTGTGTTCTTGGTTCTAATTCTGACCACAGATGACATGGTTTCTGTTGCACAGGTGCTTGTTGCCCATTATGTGCTGGGATGTTAAGAGTTTTATTTGACAAAGAAAAACTGGATACAATTGCCAAGGTAAGTTGCTTTATATGTTGGGTGGAAACCTTATTGGTAAACCGCTGTAATCCTTCAGAGTAGAGTGTGTTGTCCCAGTTATAGATGAAGAGACTGATTTGCAGAGAAGCAGCTTGCCCGAGGCCATTCAGCTCGTAAGCGGTGGAACGAGGGTTTGAACTCCAGCTGTCTGGCTCCCGATCCTGGGCTCCCTTCCTCACACCCTGGCTGGGTGGCAACCTTGCTCCGGGCAGCACAGCGAGCCTTTCTGGGAAAGGTCCCCTCCTGGCACAGGAAGCAGGTTAGGGCTAGAGGCAAAACCAGGCGGCCAGAGACTGGTAGCTGCCAGATGGTCTCGGGGTTGCCTGCCCTCTCACGGCCCCATTCCCTGTGGGCTGCTTCCAGAGCCAGCCACCATCCCGTGAGAGTTCTGCCTCTTTTCTTTTTCTGTGCCATCGCTTTTACTGCCCACTGTTAACGAATGAATCATTGAAGTACAGGTACACAAAGCAGGTGGAAACAGGGCTCCCAGACATGTAGCAGCCAGTACCTGTCACTGCCTCGAAATTACCCCCATCTCCCCATTGTCCTCAGAACAGTCACTTTGAAACAGTGCTTCTGGTGCGAGTGCTTATTTTAGCAACAGAGCTCCAAGTCAGGCAAAACCTCATCGGCATCAACTTCAAATCCAGCTGCAGGGCCCTGCCCTGACGGGTTCCTTGGCCAAAACAGCCCCTTGGCTTAGGCAGTAATGAGGAATTCTTTTTTTCTGATAATAGAAATTTATTTTCTCTTTCTAGGTAACGAACAAAAAGCCAATAACGGTTCTGGACATACTTCAGAAGATCCGCATGCACGTGTCCGTCCCACAGTGTGACGTATTTGGATACTTCAGCATTGAATCCGAAATAGTGATCCTGATCATTCCTGTCGATCATTATCCCAAAGCTCTGCAGGTGGGGTTCAGCATACAGTTGTGCGGCATGTTGTCAACTTCAAGTTTGGTGGACTTGGCAGGGGGTGGGCACAGACCAGCATGGGGAGGATCAGGTGGTGAGGAGAGGAAAGGAGGCATTTCGGCAGGGCAGGAGGGAGAAGCTGGCGGTGTCTGAGGGACAGAGCTGCACCCGCGAGCACTTTGCCAGGTGACGGGCCAGGTACACATTTGACAGCAGAATGCTGAGTCGGGGAGGGGAGAGCTTGAGATGCTGTCACTCTAAGTGTGGGCAGATGGAATGCATCTGCTCATCCTACAGACAAGGCAGCTGGGCCCAGGGAGGCAAGGGAGTGGCAGGTCGCACAGTGACAAAGCAGAACAGACTCCTGTCTCCTGAGTCTGTGCTCCCACTGGGGAGGAGGAGCTGGTCTTGTGGGCCCCAGTTTTTCTTCCCCACAATATCGAGGTGAACCTCACTCACATAGACCCCCAAGTTTCAGCATCAAAATAGTGAGGGCCCAAGCGAAGGGGGGAATACAAGCGACCTCTAAACTGCCATCATTAGAAAGTTTGTTCAGCCTAATTACTTGCCTCTAATTGCTCCTTCAGCAATTAGATGTGTGAACAGGCATGAAAGTCCGTTCCCTGTGACTGTGTTTAACCATGAAAGCTAATGTCTGAATGTGGATAAGCAGTGACAGGATTGTGGAAAAAGAAGGGACAGTGGCATTGTGGATCCTTTCATTTCTGATTTGATTTCCATTGATGCTGTTATTATTATTATTATTTTTTTTGCTTAAAGTATTACAAAGGGTATTATATATGTGTCCTTTTTCCCCCCACCCTTGACAATCCCCTGGCTTCCCCTACCCCCCAGTGTCTTATGTCCATTGGTTATGCTCATATGTATGCATACAAGTCCTTCGGTTGATCTCTTACCCCCCTCCCTCCTGCCCCCCACCCCTCCCCAGCCTTCCCGCTGCAGTTTGACAATCTGTGTGAGGCAGCTCTGCCTCTGTATCTATTATTGTTCAAAAGTTTATAATGGTCTCTATTATCCATGAATGAGTGAGATCATGTGGTATTTTTCCTTCATTGACTGGCTTGTTTCACTTAGCATAATGCTCTCCAGCTCCATCCATGCCGTTGCAAATGGCAAGAATTCCTTCTTTTTTACAGCAACATAATATTCCATCATGTAGATGTACCAGGGTTTCCTAACCCATTCATCTACTGATGGGCACTTAGGCTGTTTCCAGATCTTAGCTATGGTGAATTGTGCTGCTAGGAACATAGGGGTGCATATATCCTTTCTGATTGGTGTTTCTGGTTTCTTGGGATATATTCCTAGAAGTGGGATCACAGGGTCAAATGGGATTTCCATTTTTAGTTTTTTGAGGAAACTCCATACTGTCTTCCATAGTGGCTGCACCAGTCTGCATTCCCACCAGCAGTGCACAAGAGTGCCTTTTTCTCCACATCCTCTCCAGCACTTGTCGTTTGTTTTTTTTTATATAGAACGCCACTCTGACAGGTGTAAGATGGTACCTCGTTGTTTTGATTTGCATCTCTCGGATGATTAGTGACTTTGAGCATGTTTTCATATGTCTCTTGGCTTTCTGAATGTCCTCTTTTGAAAGGTGTCTATTTAGATCCTTTGCCCATTTTTTGATGATGCTGTTATTATTTATGTAAT